ATTTCAGAAGCCAGAAGTAATAAGAAATGAGGCTGGAGAGGTGGACAGAGCAAGATCACCTAGGGAGGTTGTGTGCCAGGCATGGAAGACTTGCTGTCATCCCAGGCTGCCACTCCTACCGCTCACCCAACATAAGAATCAGGCCCCATGGGCACTCCCACTGGACCATTTCAGTCTCTTTGATTTAACACCATCCCACATTCAAATGGCCAAAGCCAACTATGGCAAAATACGAAATAATCAAGTGTCATCTTTGATGACATTTTCTGTACCCCTTGCTTCAGTGGCTGGATCTACCATCTAGAGTCTAGGAGTTTTGCTTTAATACCTCTCCCATCAAAATGTACTTTAGTGAAGGCTTCTAAAATTAATCATCTATTAAGAGTATTATAAATGAATGTGTGTCTATCATTTTAGGCCTTGTTTTTATAATTGTGAAGTGAAAAGCTTTGCCCTCTGCTTAGACAGCTTTTTGTTGTTAACAATAAGTTGACAGTGATGCAGTCAAGGAAATTTTTCTGAAATTATACAATATTATCATCACTTTGAAACAGATAAACTAGGCAGACAGTCCCCTAGGGTTTAAAAATAAAATCATACTTTTAAATTTAGCAAACTTTTAAAAACCATGTCATCAATGACTTAATTCAGAGAAATGACAATTTTATAACAAAAACATTTAAATATGTTCAAAATAATAGCAATAAGATGATGCTATACTTAAAGTACAAATTAAAATTAAAAGTTAACAATGGAAAACAACCGGATTTTTTATTTACTCTTCCCAACACTTTTCCTCCTTGTAATACCCTTACTACCATTATACTATGAAGAATAAAAAGTTCTATTAAAAAATAAATTTTAAATGGCATAGTCAAACAAAATATAAAATCAAACATATTCCCGGCTAGTAATGTAGCACTTTTGTGAAGGACTATCAATTTTCCAGAGCAACAATCATTACAATGAACTGACTGTTTTCTTATCTGTCTTCTCAGTTCCAGCACAAAAGTTGCCTTATGCGTGTGTAAATTCCCACTGCCTAGCACAGTGCTTGGCACATGAAAAATGCTCAACAAATGTTTGTCAAATAGATGAACCTTCCAAGGGAGCCAGCAATTATCTGTCCGTAAAGAAGTCTTAGGGGAGGGGACACCTGAGAGAGGTCCTCAAAGAAGCTAAGAGTCTGCAGGTTAAGAACTGGCATCCCGCTGGGCTGCTGGGAAGTCTGGTTATGGACTGCCAAGCTGACTTGATTTAGACCTTTAGTGACTTTAGTTTTTTTAGAGCAGTTTTAGGTTCACAACAAAATTGAGAGGGAGATATTGGGATTTCCCATTTACCACTGTTCCCATATGCCTAACCTCTTGCACTATTGACATCCCCCACCAGAGAGGTACATTTATTACAATTTATGGACCTACACGGACACATCACTATCACCCAAAGTTCGTAGTTTACTTTAGTGTTCATTTACGGTGTTTTGCATCTTATAAGTTAGGACAAAAGTATAAATTACACATACTCATCATTATAGTATCAAACACAGTAGTTTCACTGCCCTGTGTTAACTTGAGCTCATCACCCCTGACCTTTCATAGAAGTCTTATTTCACTCCATAGAATCTTTGACTTTTAGAATCACAGGCTTTTTACTTTTATTTATTTATTTTTAATTTTATTTTTAAGTAATCTCTACACCCAGCATGAGGCTTGAACTTACAGCCCCGAGATCAAGAGTCGCTCTACAGACTGAGCCAGCCAGGTGCCCCTAGAATCACAGACATTTTAGAGCTGGGAAAAAATATATAGAAATATTTAATCGAGACTCTGTTTCACAGGTGAGAAAATGGTTATTTTAATCATCAATCATTCCCTTAACCATCTGAATGGATCCAAAGCAGTGTAATAACTTCATAGCTCTTTTACACATATTCAATAATTTCGTTTTCTCCACTACCCTGTACAATGGGATGGGCAGCTCTCACTCACCCTGTTTAACAGATGAGAAAACAAGGATTAGAATTTAAGCGATTTGCCTGAAGTCCAGGTGGTAGTGGTCCAGGCTGGAAGCCGTGTCATCTGCTTCTACCTCAAAACAGACAGGAGTAATCACATGGTACAAATATCTCACAGTGGTGAACTTGAGAGGCTCTAGTGGTCAGTATGTTTCTAATCAGATACATAGTTGGCTACCAGGCTTCGTCCTTGGAAGAAAGTCCCCCTTAGGCATGCTGTCATCAGCCCTGGGTCCTTAACTGTCTGAGGCTAGACCCTCCTTTGAGGCAATGTTTGCGTTTTCTTTCCAACAGGAAGAAAAAAAAATTAAGTTTATGCATGAAAGGACATGTATTTACATATGGCCTTCTTGGTCCCAGCAGTCCATGAGGAGAATCTCTATTTCCTAAATATACAAGCAATGTTTGTAATACATAAGGGTTAAATAACAGTATTAATACATTTCCAGGGCATTTACTACATAGTATTTACCCTGGGCTGAGTTATTTATATACTCTTAAAATTTCACCTGCTAACAGTCTTGGCAAGTACTTGGTATTATTTCCATTTGAACTATGTGGAAACTGAAGCTTAGAAGAGGTACTTGCCCAGGGACGATGGTTCTCTCCCTGTTGTATAAGAAAATAACAAATAGTCAAGGCAACAGATTAATAAGATTTTTAATAACATTTATCCCTTCATAAAATGAAGAAAGTTATAAAAATAAAATTATGGAAGGAGTTATTGAAGTGGTAATCCTGTTGATTTGGTTCTTGCCCAATGACTGAAACAAAACTAGTACAAAGAAAAACACCCACAAATCCAGACAAGTGTTAGAGGCAACATTTTATACTGGAAAGGGCAATTTTGTTTTTAGCCCACATTTACTGGGTGTCCTTGAGCTGTGACCTCTTTGTAATTCTGCTCTGTATATCCCTCTGCTTGGTGATGCATCCCTCAGTCAATCCAAACTCCACTTGAACACATTTATTCATTATCTCCCCCTTACACCTTATCTCTGTTATCCACACCCTATGACCTTGGAACTAGTCCTCATCATTTATATCCAAAGTCATCCCTGGTTCAGATCTTCATCATTTTTATGTCCTTATCTTAGTCCCTCTACTTCCTGTCTGATTCCCCTCCAATCAGTCCCCCGCCCCACACACTCTTCCTGTCAAATTCCTATTTACCCTTCAGACTAAATGTTTTGAAGTATACCCTGACAGACCTTTCCCTCAATAGAATCAATTTATTCCCCGCTTTGTACTCCTCCCTTATTGTGTTCATACAGAAGTATGATCAAACACAGTTGATCCTTTTTGTTTACATTTTTATCTCTTCCACTAGAGCATAAAGTCTTGTACCCAAAGACCTGACAATTAGTTTTTCCTCAGTGAATATTTGTTAAATGGGAGTGATCAAACCTCTCTGAATTTCTATTTTGGAATTATAAAATGGGAATCAAAAGACCTACCTCATAGCCAAACTGTGGAAACAGCCGAGGTGCCCTTCAACAGATGAATGGATAAAGAAGATGTGGTCCATACATACGATGGAATATTACTCAGCCATCAGAAAGGATGAATGCCCAACTTTTACATCAACATGGATGGGACTGGAGGAGATTATGCTAAGTGAAATAAGTTAAGCAGAGAAAGTCAATTATCATATGGTTTCACTTATTTGTGGAATATAAGGAATAGCATGGAGGACATTAGGAGAAGGAAGGGAAAAATGAAGGGAGGGAAATCGGAGGGAGAGATGAACCATGAGAGACTATGGACTCTGATAAACAAACAGGGTTTTAGAGGGGAGGGGGGATTGGTTAGCCCAGTGATGGGTATTAAAGAGGGCATGTACTGCATGGAGCACTGGGTGTTATATGAAAACAATGGATCATGGATCACCACATCAAAAACTAATGATGTATTGTATGGTGACTAACATAACATAATAAAATTAAAAAAAAAAAAAAAGACCTACCTCATGTGAGGTAGTGTGATTGATGAGAAACAAAAGTCCAGGGGCTAGCAATGTGCCTCACGTATCATGTCCAGGAAATGTTAATCCTCCACCTCCTCCTGTTAGAGCTTGTTGTAAGATTCCATTCATTCCAGCCACCTATTTATGATCTTGGAAAAAGAGACTATCTCTCCATTGCAGAAAGGCCTCCTGAATGATTGTAGCCACTCAGCAACTTCCGTGAAAGGCAAGTAGCAAGGTAGAAAGAATGTGTGCTTTGGCATCAGAAAGTCCTGGTTCCAGCTTTGGCTGGGCTACTGTGTAGCCCTGATCAACTTTTAAGCCTCCTTAAGCCTCATTTTACATGTATTAAAATGGGTAGAAGAAAGTCATATATATGTGTGGTACACGGTAGGAACTTGGTATACATTTTCTATATATAGAACCATGTGAGTCATAGGTCCATGTGATTCCACCCCAGATGGGTCATGCATTCAGAAAAGCTTTAGCTCGCTGTGTCCTGCAGACACCCACACCAAAGAAATAAAAAGGAATATCATTCTCCTTCATCCCTCTGGAAGAACACGAAAGGAGACTCAAAGCATATCCACAACTATAACAATATTTCTCATATCCTGCTTTCATTCTTTTCTTTTACAGCCCTTCCCAGAGCTTCTGATTTGATAAGGCCCACAAAACTAGCTCCCACTTCTCTTGGTCTATGCAGCATTTACTCCAGCCTCCAGCTCCTCTCTCACTGTGCTACATGCAGTGATTTTCTCACCAATTCTCTCTCTCTCTCCTCCCTCTTCAGTCTCATCTTCTCCACTGTCTATAACTCCCAGAGCCAGCCTGACAGTGGCACACTGCTCCTGTAGACCCAGGAGAGGGGTGGGCATTGCTCAGCAATGACAACATCTCCTTTGGCAGACTGGAGCAGGGGAGATCAGTGCCTTGTCTCAATTAGTGAGCTATGCTTTGCCTCAAATGAACAGTCTGGGATAGGACTCACTATTGAACTGTGTTATCTGCCCACAGGGTGACAGTGGAGGGCCTCTGGTCTGCACCACAGAATCTGACAAGACCTGGTACCAGGTGGGCATCATCAGCTGGGGCAAGAGCTGTGGACAGAAGAACATGCCAGGAATATACACCTTGTTAGAAAATTATAGCCTCTGGATTAAGAATGTGACTGAGGTAGAGGGAAGGCCCTTTAATGCTGAGGAAATGAGAGCTCCTCCCAATAGGAAACAAGTGAGGTCCCATGCTGCAGAATTTCCAGAGCCAGGAAGCCCCAGATTCTGGATACTGATTTCGCTTCTGTCCGTCATGCTATTCAGGGCCATTTTCTCCTGATAATAAAGCAGATGCTATTTCTTAACCAATGAAGGTGTGTGAAAATGTACTTCCAGCAGAGAGACTGGCTACAAATTAGATCTAAGGGCCAGGAACTGAAGGTGACAATAGATAGTAGGACCAGAAAGGCAGGCTGGAGCCCTGGCTTGGGGATTAGGCTTTGGGTCCCTCCATTAGTCAGGACTCTTTCCATTGCAAGTGAGTTATCGATCTCAAACCATCTAAAGCCCAAACCAGTTATTTATAGATGTAGATGTACGTAACAGAAAGACACTAGGAGTGGTATTTGGCTTCGGGCATGGCTGAATCTAGGGGCTCAACAAATGTTAACAGGGACTATTTTTTTATAGCTATCACCCTCAAAAAGGGCTTCCAAGTGGTGGCCATAATGACTACCAGTACCTCCAGTTTGCATCCTACCAGTTTAATAGCCTTGGTAAAAAGAGAGAGCCTTCTTCTTGGTAATTCCAGCAAAAGTCTGTGGTCTAATTCTCATGACTCGTAAGCTCACAGCCCATTGCTGCTCCAATCACTGTGGCATTCTTCTAGGTGAGGTTCGAATTACAAGTCCACTCCAGGAGCCAGCAAAGGGCCAGCCATTTAAAACTATGTATACTGATAGTGGGTGCAGGTAGTGCCCCACACGGAAATAAAAGTGCTGTGAACAGGAAAAGGGGACTGTGTACTGAAGATGTCCTTTGATGGTGGACATTCTGGTTGGCTGGCTTCCAAGGTAGCCAAATCCCAGGCTCCCAGGAACTTCTGAAGAAAGTATGTCCAGAAATTGCTGCTTCAGGACCACAGGGGGAGCAAGGGTAGAGTGGGGGAAAAGAGACCTAGGAAATATTTTGTCTCACAATCTCTTTCTGAAGACATATCAGCCATGCTGTAGGTCATGGGAAAAGTCCAAGCTTCCATTTAAAGTTTTACATTTCCTAAATTGCCACTGCATCTTTAGTGTGGCCCAGGAAATCCAATGGAGACTGAGCTGGAGAAAAGAGGTACATGGCAACACTCAGTAATTTGGTCTTATATTGACAGCTCACAGTGTCAGATGCTGGAGGATTTAGCAGAAGGCAGGATCCCATCCTCAAGAAATTTCTTGGTGAACAGTGATATGTCCCACACCTGACCCTTCCAATTGAGCGCTAGAGGGGGTGGGACCCAGGAGTCCTGCAGAGTACAGAGGGGGCCATCTTCATGGGCTGGCAGGACCCAGAAGTCTCCTCAGAGAGACTGAAACATGGAGGAGAATCTGCTGAAGGACTGCTGTAGAAGTGAGGTTTTTCCAAATGTGGAAAAGAGAGCAAATGAAGGACTAGTTGGAGATGAGCATCATCAGTTTGACTAAAGAATAAACTGGAAGTGAAAATTGGTAACAAGCTGAAAGCAAGGAGAAAGAGAACAGAACCTTCTGTGCCCAAAGAGAAGAGTTCTAAGGTAGAAAATGAAAATATGATTTTTAAGTAGGGGGTCCTGAGAAAAAAATTAATGTTGCTCAAGAAAGAGGTAAAAATGAGTTGTCCTCAAAGTAAGGATAAGTATGGCACGTTATTAGTTCTAACATATGGGGAAAACAAAATATCATGTGAAAGACACCTGGGAGACTACAACAGTTAATTTTGTATCTCAACTTGGAGAGTATGATGGTTTTGGATGAGATTAGCATTTGAATAAGTGAACTTTGAGTAAGCAGATTGCTCTCCATAAGGTGGTGGGCTTCATCCAATTAGTTGAAGGTCTGAATAGAACAAAGAAACTAGCCTCCACAAAAAAGAGGGAGTTTCTCCAATACACCCCTTTTGGATTTCATCTGCACTATCACCTTTCCTGGGTGGCCTTCAGAGTTTATCACCATCAACCTTTCTGTGACTTGAGCCTGATAGATAAACAGCAGATTAGGATTTACCAGTCTCCATGATCATGTGAGGCAATTTCTTATAACACATACACACATGCACATACACATACACTTTTCTCTGGGGAATTCTGACTAGTACAGATTTTCGTACTGAGAGTGTTTGTAATTTTTTTTTTTAAGATTTTATTTATTTGAGAGAGAGAGCATGAAAGAGAGAGTGCATGAGCATGGGGTAGGGGCAAAGGGAGAAGCAGGCTCCCCACTGAACAGGGAGCCTGATGTGGGACTCAGTCCCAGGGCTCTGGGATCATGACCTGGGCCAACGCAGACGCTTAACCAACTGAGCCACCAAGACACCCTGAGAGTGCTTCTAGAAGAACAAAATTTTAAAGAAGAATTTTCTGAATTCATTCTGGGATTTCTGGAATTGGCTCTCTAATCTGATTAGATTTAAAGACACTAAACTTACAAGAAACTAAGATCTGGGTGACCATGTATATGATACGTTCAAACATTTTTGTCAAACCAGTAAGTACAATGAGATTGGCTGGTTGCTCCTAATGTTGTTAGATAAAGTGGGGAAAGAAAAAGATGAGCTCACAATTCAAATTCTCAGCTCAAGAGTCCCAGAAATGACTTGAAATCTTAATTTTTCCTGAAGGATACCCTTTTTCCTATGGCCACAAGGCTGAGATTGCTAAAAATCAAACTCACAATCTCATCCTGAATCTAGCTGAAATACGATGTGAGTTGAACTCCTAACCTTACAGGGTGTCTACTGTTAAAGGCATTAACTGGGAAGGAATGGAATCCTGAAAGTTGGAATGAGGATATGTGGGAAGACCCTGATGGAGCTGGGAACACTGGACCCCTAAATTCTGATGAGTCATCTTTGACAGTGGAAGCAGTTTCTCTACCCCCAGTAAAAGTGACCTCTTAATCCCTGTCTGAAGCCTGCACTGCCTGAGGAGAGGGCAGTGGTCTCCCCCACTGCCAAGAAAGACAATGCTGATGCTCCTGAGGACCCACCTCCACCACCCCTCTTTGCTTCTAGACCTATAACTAGACTCAGTTCTCAGCAGGACCCTAAAGGTGAGGTACAAAGTATGACCCATGAGGTGGTGTGCTATATTCCAAAAGAATTACCTGAGTTTTCTAATCCGTGCAGATAGAAATCTGGGGAGTATTTGTGGTAATGGATACTAAAAGGGTGGGATAATGGTGGAAGAAACATAATGTTGGATCAGGCAGAATTTATTGATAGGGGCTAACTAAGCAGAGATTTTCTATGTAATGTTGCATCTTGAGGAGTTAGAAAGGGTCTAACTGTTTGGTTGGCTGGCTGAGGCATGGGCCAAAAGGTGACCCACAGTGAGTGAGAGAGAAGTGCTGGATCTGCCTTGATTTCATGTAAAGAAAGGGATTCAAAGACAGGGAAGGTGGGATGTTGGAGTGGGTTTGTCATCTGAGACCCACTCACCCACCCTGGGAAGGTCCAGAAGACATGCCTTTCACCATGACTGTGAGAAATAAATTTGTGAGGAGAGTCTTAGAATCCTTGAAGAGCTCTGTGGTCATTCTTTGTAGGCCAGACCTTGCAGGGAGAACTGCAGTCTCTGAACTGGGAAACCTAACCACAATTAGAGTAATTGGGTCCTGGGGTGGCAGATACCTAATGGTGGCACTCAACTGCCTAAGGCAAGGAGAGCATGGATACCATAATAGCAGAGTCAACGCAGTGATGGGGATAGGCTGACATGCACCGACCCATGGGGTTGGCTAGTTGGTTATAGTGTGCTTAGAAGTGAAATAGATAGGAAGCCTACAAAATTCTTACTTGTTCTGGATAAGCAGAGAAGTTCTAGGTCAAGAGAACAAAAGTCTAATCTGAATTATAAAAACAGTCATGGCTTCTCCTCAGACTTGAGCTGTTTACAAGCCCAGAATGACTTAAATAAAAGGGAAGCTTGGTACCCTTGAAGATGGACCCCAGTATACACCAAATATTTTTACTGTTAATCTTCCCAGCTTTCCCCAAAGGGACCTATAGCTTTTTACCAGGATAACTGTACACTGGGGAAAAGGAAATAATCAGCCCTTTGGGGGACTGCTAGACACTGGCTCTGAAGGACACTGACAGGAGACCCAAATACCACTATGGTCCTCTAGTCAGAGTAGAGGCTTATGAGGTCCGGTGATCAATGGGGCTTTAACTGAAGTACATCTCACAGGAGATGGGTCCCTGAATCCACCCTGTGGTTGTTTTCCCAGTTCTGGAATGTACAACTGGAACAGACATACTGAGAAACTGGCAGAATCTCATACTGGTTCCCTGATCTATGGAGTAAGGGATATTATGGTGGAAAAGGCCAAGAGGCACTGCCTTTACCTAGGAAAATAGTAAACTGAACACAATCCTGCATTCCTGGAAGGACTGCAGAGATTAGTGTCTCCATCAAAGACAAAGAATGCAGGGGTGGTGATTCTCACCACATCCCCATTCAACTATTCTATCTGGCCTGCACAGAACACTGACAGTTCTCTGAGAATGACAGAGGATTATTGTAAGCTTAACAAGATGGCGACTCCAATTGCAGTGACTCTACCAGATGTACTTTAATTGCTTGAACAAATTAACATATTGCCTGGTATCTGCTATGCAGCTCTTGATCTGGAAAATGCCTTTTTCTCCATCCCTATTCATAAGGTCTACCAGAAGCAGTTTGTTCTCTAGCCGACCTCAGGGGTATATCAACTCTCCAGGCCTATGTCATAATTTAACTCATGGGGATCTTGATCATAAGATCCCTTTCCCCTCCACAAGATATCACACTAGTCCTTTACATTGATGACATTGTGCTGATTAGACCTTGTGAGCAAGAGAAATCAATTACTCTAGACTTATTGGTAAGACGTTTATAAGCTAGGTGGTGGGAAGAAAATCTAACCAATTTCAGGGGCCTCCAACCTTGGTGAAATTTCTAGGGATTCAGTGGGTCAGACATGTTGAGGTATCCCTTCTAAGGTAAAGCGTGAATTGTTGCATCTATCCCTTCTTACAACCAAAAAAGAGGTATAACTTAGTGGACCTCATTGGATTTTGGAGGCAACATATTCCTCATTTAAGTGTGCTACTCTGGCCCATTTACTAAGTGACCCAAAAAGCTGCTACATGAAGCCCAGAACAGAAGGTTCTGCAACAGGTCCAGCTTGCCATTCAAGCTGCGCTGCCACTTGGGCCTATGATCCAACAGGTCCAATGGTGGTTGAAGTATCAGTGGCAGATAGGGATGCTGTTGGGAGACTGTGGCAGGCCCTTAAAGGTAAATTATAGCATAGGCCCTTAGGCTTTTGGAGAAAAGTACTGCCATCCTTGGTAGAGAACTACCTTCCTTTTGAGAAGCAGCTTTTGGCCTGATACTAGAACTTGTAGATACTGAACACTTAACCATGGGCCACCAAGTTACCATATGACCTGAGCTGCCCATCATTAACTGAGTGTTATCTGATATTCCAAGCCATAAAGTTGGGCATGTACATACAGCAGCACTCCATCATCCTATGGACGTTAGTATATATGAGATTGGGCTCAAGCAGGCCCTGAAGAAACAAGTTACACAAAGTGTCCCAATGCCCTTGGTTCACTCCAACCCAGCCACACTACCTTCTCTCTCCCAGTTTGCACCTATGGACTCATGAGGAGTTCTTTACAATCAGCTGACCAAGGAAGAGGAAACTCAGCCCTGATTTATAGGTGCTTCTGTATCATATGCAGGCATTATCTGAAAGTAGACAGAGGTAGCACTATAGTTCCTTCTTGGGGTATCCTTGAAGGAGAGTGAGGAAGAGAAATTCTCCCAGAACTTTAAGCAGTGCACCTGTTTGTTCATTTTGCTTAGAAGGAGAAATGGCCACATGTACAATTATATACTGATTCATGGCTGTGGGCAATGGTTTGGCTGGTGGGTCAGGGACTTGGAAGGAACATGA